CAGCTCAATGTCATTCCCTTTTAGCAGGGAATTTGAAATTTCTAAGCGCCTCAATTGTAGCTGCTGCGTGACTGGTGGGGCACGCACTTGCCAAGTTTTCACCATTCCAAAGCGCTTGATGTCGTTTAGGAAACGCCCATATGCTTGGCAATTTCTCTCAGAGGTTGGAGTCGATCATCCTCGACTGCGACCACGACGACCAAGCTTAAATTCGTTATGTGAAACCGTTCGGAAAACAGTCTAATCCTTCCTAAAAGAAAAACGTTCTCAAGACCTCAAAAACCTTACGAAATCAAAAGAGAAGTGTCTGTGATACCCCATCACCTTACTTCTTTGATACTGCTCCCTCAGATTACCTCTTACTCCTACGTTTTCTGGATGCTTATAGCCTAGCAAAAAATTAATAAAAGTCCAAGATGCCGAACGGACAGTCGATGGCGATTATATTGCGACCAATTTGTTACTTGCTAGGCAAAAAAGAAAGCAGTAAAAGTCATGAATGTGAAAAGATTTTTGCTTTTCCTTAGTACATCACGTCGTATGGCAATAACACACGCGATTATTCAAGGGCTGAGGTTCTCTCATCTCAAAATCGGAGGGACCAGTCTCACAATAGTCTGACTTTTCAATATCGAGGAAGAATTAGCGACTGAGCTCAAATCAAGTAAGTTTCAAAGTGGTAACATCCTGCGCTCTTTTACAAAGTCGCCTCTATAGCACGCTTCGATGCAATTAGCTTACTCTTACCTTTTGGAACCGGTAAACTTTTCAGTAGGCGGTGACATTCTCCAAAAATCATTACCATATTTGTGATTACCATATTATTACTATTTAATATTACCATCCCAAATGATTACCATACTTTTTGTGCTCATTACCTTTGCTGTTACTGAAGCTCTTGTTAATTTAATGGAGTGTTTTTGGGATAGGGGTTCCGCACTTACTCGAGCTTCGCGTGTTTGACGTGGTCATCCCGGCGACTGCCTCCCTATCAATTCATCACAATGCTGTGGCAGAGAATTTCAAGCGCATTACGTTGAGCAGTGAAGGGTTGACCCCAAACCACAGAAGCAGGCTGGTAAATCTTCTTGGATCAATTGGAGGAAAACTGGAATTCAGGTTTTAGAAGGACATCCCGCCACGTTCGCACCTTGAACCAAAACAATTCCTTTTTTTCCCTGGTCACAGCAGTTTGACAGCGTGAAGGGGTACCTTCAAGCGATAGCTCCGTGAGGCCGGAAACGAATTTTGACAAAATTCCCATTGGGTTGTTTAACCCATTGACGACCGCGTGGCCTGCCGGCGGGCCACACCATATAATGCTCCATTAGTATTTATATTATTTGCCAGGTTAGGTTCTTATAATTTTTTCATATTTTCAACTATCAGCTGAGCTCACAGCCTTCTGGACAACCTTGAGGCATTGTGGGCCGGGTATCATTCAACTACAA